AACATTATCATTTACTTGCTATTTTAATTTGATGCTCTTTATTATTAGGTCTCATCTATGAAAATGGCAGGGAAATGAATGTGGCTTAAGTGACAACTGAAAAAATATTAGGGTAAAAATTATAAATACACAGAGTGCTAACCCAGATAAGAAACTGAGATAAGCAGAGAGAGAGAGGGGGGAGTGTGTGTGGGATGAGGGAGGGAGAGCGGAAGAGACAGAGGGAGAGAGAGAGAAAATAACATCATGGGAATTCGTCCCCTGAGATGTTTAGGAAGAAGACAAATGCCCAGCAGTCTAGCAGAGTTCAGTGTGCCGTGCCTGGAGGAAGGGGAACAAGATCTGCTAATTTGCAAAATTTCCACAGCGTCAATTTGATACTGCCAGGATGCTGCCTAGAGCATATTTAAACAATCCACAAGATTAAAGTAAGTGCTTCCAGTGAAAATCCTCTGATAACGGGAATTTGCTAGGAATAAGACCTGAATGTGGTAAATCCAATAAACCTGTTACAGTGCACCAGACTGGGCTTTTAGACTGAGCTATACAAATTGCAGTCCTGGTGAAATGCAAGGACATTTCTCTACCCAGCTTTCTTTTTTTCGCATTTACTCTCTGAGTGAGTCTGAACACCAGTCAGCTTGGCTCTGCGGAGGATTACTGGACTTGAAAATGCCCACACCAGTAGGATAAATAGTACACAACCTCTCCTCCAAGAACAGTAACAATCCCAGCATGTTCACTACTCATATGAATGTTCTTTTTAGTGTGCCATTAATTAATACCTTAGGGTTCACTGTCTAAGAATCCCAAGGATTAAAGCCTGCCCTCGGTTGACTATCTCTTACTCGTTATCAGTCTTAACTTTTAGCAGGACTATCAACATCACCCAAATTCAGAAGCTCTTTGGAAGAACACCGCTTGAACTCTTTTTGAACCATGTCCTAATGACCTCTACCTACCCAATTCTGTTGCTGTTGGGGTCCTGATCGTAATCACCTGGAAATCTGTACAGACACGGTGGCATTTCCATGCCATTCTCTCCTTCTCAATGCCACAGAGAAGGTAGTCGGCAAAAGCAAACAGTTGACAAAGAAGTGATTCCGACTCATGGTGAACCTATGGGGACAGAGACTAGCCCCATAGGGTTTCTAAGGCTGCAGTCTTTAAGGAAGCCGCCTACCGCATCGTCCTTCTGTGGATCCGTTGGTGATTTCAAACCCTGGACACCTGAGTGCTTAACCACTGCGCCAGCAGGCCTCCTTGATCACTGAGACTAGTGGGGGTTCTTTGCTCATCTGGCCATCATCATTTCGTACCCACATGGTCCCTGTAAGCTGCTTAGAATCTTTCAAAGGAGCATGAAGCTGTCATAACTGAAAGCCAGGGATGACCGGGCATGTTGGAACCTCTGCGCTTCCTGATCAAGGTGCCCTGGTGGCACAGTGGATGAGTTGCGGAGCTGCAAAGCGCATGATCAGCGGTTTCAACACACCATGCTGCAGCCAGATGAGGCGGCTTCCTTTGAGACGGACCGTCTCTGAGACCAGAGGGTGCAGTTCCGGTCTGTCCCACAGAGTTCCCAGGAGTCAGAATGAACCGAATCCCCCTGGAGTTTTGGGAGGTGTTTGCTTTCCACGAGGAAGCCTGGTGGCACAGTGGTTAAGTGCCTGGCTGAGAACTGAAGGCCGCTGGCGGTTTGAACCTGCCGGTTGCTTTGTGAAAGAAAGAGGTGGCCATCTGTCTCCTTAAAAAAATACAGTTTTAAACATCATGTGGAGCAATCTACTTTGTCCTCGGGGTCCCTCTGAGATGGGATCAACTGGGTGATGCCAGGCACCGCTACAATCACAACAACACACTTTCTTTCACATCGCTGCTGCTCTCTCTGTAGGCATCGCGTCTGCTTGGAACATGAGCACACTCAATCTCACACGTGTGCACACGCATACCTAACTTGACTGCGCTGTCAGAATCCCCCAATCGGATCACATTCTTTTTAACCATTATTTTAGTGGGGCTCACACAGCTCTTATCATAATCCACACATGCCTCCACTGTGTCAAGCACATTTATACATGTTGCCATCATCATCATTTTGAAAACAGTTTCTGGCTACTTGAGCCCTTTTTATCAGCTCCTCTTGTTTCCCTTCTCCCCCACCCTCCATTCCTCATGAACACTTGATGATTTATACATTATTATTTTAGAAAAAATAATAACTCTGATAAAATCTGAACTCCAATCTGGTATCTCTTTTTGAATACGTTTTAAAATTTTAAGACAGCTTGTCTGCTTCAGTGCACTAATACACCACACACCCTTGGTGGAGTCTGCCTTTCGAGTCTGTCTAGTGAACTCTCCCCAGCATCCCTGCTGCCTTCGACCCCGCTTCCCTCTCCTCCTTTCCTCAGCACTTACAGCATGCAATGCCCCCTCCTTGATCAGGGCCATATGTAATTCGCTTAAATACCTGGTCATGGGAGCTCTGTGTTCATTTTGTGGCTCCTTAGCTAATTGACACTGAATAGAATAATTGTATTATCCATTCTAAATGTTACAAATTGCTATATATTCTAACTTTTGATTGCTTTTTTCTGAGCTAATTTCCAGCAGTTGATTAATGTATAACTGGAGAGAGAAAAAATCATGATATTTTCCTATGATTTTTACCATTTTCAAAGAGAGTTCGCCTATCTTATTTCCCTAGTGCCCACCACACACCCCGGCAAGGATTATGATCATCATACAAAGGTAAAAATGGAGGCTCAAGGGAGCTGACTTATTTTCCAACGTTTAAAAACGCAATGACCAGGGAAGGATTGTGAAACTGCGAACCTACACACATCTTCCACCAAACATACAAACTGACTGGAATTTGGGGGAAATTATGCCATTGGAAGAAGACATTTTAAAATCCCATTAAAAATAAATAAAATAACACCCCCCCAAAAGCATCAGTGAATTCTTTGCAGCACATTGGCGAGGACATGACCACGCTTTCAGAGCTTGAATCATGTGATGCTGAGAGACGAGTACATAAAGAAGGATCACACTGCTATTGGAATTCCTGACCCCACCTTCCTCAATTAATATTCTTAATTGTGGGAGAACTACATATAGTCTTGGATTCCCTGAAAATCTTTACTATGAAAATTAAACACCACCTATTTTAAGGATTTGGAAGTAATATGTTTTAAGATTGTCCATGGTATTCCAAAAGAGTGGTCAATGGCGATTGTAGCCACTGCCATACGTTGACAATAAAACTCAGGCGCCTTGAGTAGGTACTCATTAGGGATCCTACAAAAGTAGAATGGAACACCTGAAGATACCTGAAGATTTCTCCATCCCCTGGCTAGCAAAGACAAAATCAAAGCCACTAAAATCCCTTCAATCTAAACCAAACCAAGTTCACTGTCATTGAGTTCATTGTGACTGACAGCCACCCCCTACATAGGACAGGGTTGAACAGCCCCTGTGAGACGATAACTTCTCTTTGTCCTGAGGAGTGCCTGGTGATGTCCAACTACTGACCTTGCCGTTAGCAGCCCAACAGATAACCACTATGCCCCTCGGGTTCCTCTTCAATGTCAGAGCGCTCATAAAAACGGCAGGGCCACGCGTTTAATGCCTCTGCACATTTAGATGGAGAAGCCTCTATTTTTCTGCTCTTACCCATGCATTTATAAAGCACAATTTTAAAATCCCAATGATTTACACTAAGCCAAGGTTGGAGCTAAAAACGGTGAAACAGCTGTCTTCTTTAACAAGAAAAAAACACCTGTCTCGCTTTTGCTCCTGGAAAAATAGAATTGGAGAGCAGCATGGATAATTTAGAACACAAGTTAATTCCTGAGAAAGCCCTGCCCCATTTATTACTAGCTAAGAAATATTGAACGTTTAGCACTTAATCTCAGCATAGAGGGATTTTCACCCTTACATTACAGACTAATGGAAAAGTTAAGAAATATTTTTTATGTCCTTGCATTAATAGTCTATATTAAAAAACAAACAAACTAAAAACAATCACTTTGAAAGACGAGTCTGTTATTTGAAGCTTTATAAAGATATTGCCTTTTGACAATGTTTGAATTGTCAATGAAACCCTAAGTCTCCTAAGTACTGTATGTGCTACAGACACTTAAAAAAAAAGTTTATATACAAGACACCAGATAAATGATTTATAAAGAAAATAAATACATAAGGCTTTTTTCTTCTTTTTTACTATTTAAAGAGGTTAAGCATATTCCTTCATGAAGCTATAGATGGACAAAGATTAAGATACATATTCGTACAAAGGCATAGACAGAGTTTCGAGAGCTCAATCTTAAACAGTTGGCCTTTAATTAAAAAGGTTCTTTAAGTAAGTGCTTGGCTGCTAACCACAAGGGGATAGAGTTTGAACCCCAGCCGCTCTCCGGGAGAAAGATATGCCCTGCTTCCTTAAAGATCTCAGCTAGAGAACCCTGTTGGGCAACTCCACTCTGTTTTACCAGCACAGTCTGATGCAGAATTGATTGGAGGGAACTAGGGTTTCGGTGTTGCTTTGTTTGGTTGGTCCAAATGCTCCAGGCTCCAGGTGTCTCTAACAAGGAAGGATTACCTACCCTTTCATTGGAAAGGAAATAATTCACCTTCCTCATTTGCAAAACATGGTTTGAGGTACTGACAATGGAGTTACTCACATCATCTGGCAAAAGAGGGAGGGGGAGGGGGATACAGCACAAAACCTTTTAATCAAATCATTGTGTTTGATCGCTCAGACTAATTACCAGGTTTGAAGAGTAAATGCCATCATAACTTCATTTTCCTGACAACTTCTAAACGGGATGCTTGTCAAAAATCTTGTGCAAACAACTCAAAACTTACTGTCATCAGCTCTCATCAGCATCAAAATACGTAGGCATTTTTCTCTGACACTTTCTTGACTCGAGATTGATGTTCAAGGAGATAATGACTTTATGGAGATATGCAATCCTTGTAAAAGACATACTTACAGGTTTTTAATATCAACCGCCCCACGGAAGGCTTTTCTTGGAATTGCTTGAATTTGGTTTTCGCTGAGGTCCCTATAAAGAACAATAAAGAGAAAAAAGGAGTGTGAAAATATAATTTTAAAATGATGTGAGAGCACCTAAGAAGAGAAAGGGCACAGCAGAAAAACATTACAGACATGAAAGGCTTACAACGACCTCTGCAGCAGTCAAGGCCGTTTCTGATAAGACCCTTCTTATATTCTAAGATAAGGGGTGCATTAAATGGCTGTCTGATGCAAATTTCCATATTTATCGTTCCACCATAAAACCTAAAATACGGTTCTTTTAAATTTAAGAATGGACTCAAGTCTCTATAATAAAATCATTCTTGCAAACAAACAGGACACTGTAGCTAGCTCAATGACTCTGGGTTCCAAAGTTTTAGCCCTTGATAGCTCCCATCATCCAGTTGTGACTTACGGGGGCTCTCCTAAACAAGGACTCCCCTTTAAGACCCAGGAGAAGAGGGAGGGAAAACTGATCAAACCTGCATCAGTGATCAAACGTTCACAGCACTCCAAGTAATCTTGAAAATGGAACTCGGTAGGACCGGTCCAACCATACACCCCGGCTGTTCTGCAGGGACTAGCAACAGCAGACTGATTTAAGCTCTTCTTGAAATTATGGCTTATAAGCAGAAACGCAGAAGGTATGATCTGCATTCTAACTTAATTGAGAAATCCATTTTCATTAAGTGAGTGGGGGAAGAGGACTCTTCAAGTTGCGATGAGAATTTTGTTTTTAAATATATACATATAACACACACACAAAATAGATGATTAGTTTCTCTTAGAAGAGTTCAGACGCACTCCTCCCAGATCACATACGCACACAGGGGATTTACATGCACATGTCAGAAATGCCAGTGACAAGACACACCCCTCTTTTAATTTTAAGTGCCACCACTGCAGAGCAGAAAGCCAAACGGACAAAGAAACAAAGCATCCGATGAACAATGAGATGCTGCTGCAATGACCGTTGTAAGGAAGATGAAACCACTGACCAGGGCTGCAGAGCAGGGGAAAGAGAGCCGTGCTCCAATTAGTTGAAAGGATACTGCACAGCTCCGTCTGCACGCTTTCCCCCAATACCGCTTATGGCGGAGCTTGCTATGCACGCAGTGGTGGCCACTCAGTGGAGACAGAAAATTGCCAGACACAGTGACGGAGCATGTGGTCATGACCTTCTTACCACAAGATGTAGTGCAGCTGAGATTTGCATTTATATCTTAATAATCGCAATGCTCACATAAAAAATAATAATAATAATAAACATTTGCTAAGCAATCTCCAAGGAGACACATGTAGGCCAATCCATGGACAGGTCGAAGGACTTTAGTGGAAAACGATTGTATTTCGAACAGTAAATGTGACAGAAGGTGCTCATCCAGTCACTTGGACCGCCATCCATTTCCCAAGCGATGCAGCTGTGCTTCTGCGTTCAATGGTTTTCACACATCTCTACGAATAACAGAACTTCACATCCTTAAAACTGGCTCGTTTTTTCTGATTTGCCGGGAATTCTTCTTTCTTTTGGCTAACGACCCCGGGTTAACAATGTTTAACAATTTGTATTTGAAAAGCTTGGCATCTGAAACAGCACAAAGACTATGAAGCGAGAAAGTCAAGAAGGAGGATGCGTTAAAAAGATGAAGAGGAAGAAACACGTACGTTCAAACTAACTGAAAGTGTAACAACACCTCGCGGAGAGCCAACAGGAGCGCTCTCACTGCTGTGCTCCTGCCGATCCAGTGTTTGCCAACCGCAGCTGCTTCTTTCTGAAAATACACATTTCCAGAAACAAAGGCTGCTGCTCGGTGAATGAAAATGCTAGAGACAAGGTTTCAGGTCTCCCTGCTTCTCAGGCTCTGCAGCCTCCCTATGCTGGCAGATGGGGCTCCTCCTGAACACCTCACCCTGCTGCGGTCTCACTCCTGCTCAGCCTCTAGCCCCAGCTCTGTTCTAGGGTCATGGTTTCTCCTGGGAGTGGAAGGAAGAGAATCTGGAGTGATGAGGGCAGGTGGTTCCTAGATACATCGCTGAAGACAGTCAGAAGGTAGTCCTTTGTCATTTGATCTTCAGGCCCATCTATCTTAGACAGGATGCTAGCAGGAACAATGGCTTTACCAGCACTTGTTCAGGTTGGGTACCACTGAATCAATTTCAACTCAGTCATCCCATGTGGCAGAGTAGAACTACTTTGGAAGGTTCCCTTGGTTATGATCTTTATGGATTTGAATCACTTGATGTCCCCAAGGTCAATGGCATAGCCATGGGCTCACCGATCCCTGAAGTTGCCCTCAGTGCACTGAGAGAACCAAAGAGCAGCACAGTATTCTGCTCTATAGCTTAGTCCGATTTGGAAGGGCTCTTTGCTTAGGGACTCCAGTTCAATGGGCCACGTTCACCAGCACAGGAGGGCAAATCTGACATGTTTTCTTTCCCATCGTTCACGGCAATAATAAATCGTTAAAAGACTATATAGTCTTATCTAATTTAGCTTCCCTAAAAACCCTGTGAAGTTGCTGTTAGATTTCAACATACAGAGACCCTACTCCCCGCCCAACACACACATACCCTGTGCACGACAGCAGGAAACGCTGCTGGTCGGGCACCATCCTCCCAACTGTTCCTGTGCTTGAGCCCATTGCTACAGTCACTGTGCCAATCCATCTCATTAGCAAGTAGGCCTGATATTTCCTGCTTTGGCTTGAAAGGAAATTACAGGGGAATAGTAAAGATGTTTGAAATTGTCTTTGAATGACAGGTAGAGGTTAGGATGAGGGACAGTGCCCCAAGGACATACATGGTGCTGGCATGGATTGCGGAAGGGAGAACAGAAGCGTGGCATGAATACGGGGAAGCAGAAGCAAACAAGGGAAGATGGGGCCATGAAACAAAGGCACAGTCTCAGACGTCAGAGCTTAAAGAAAAAGACCGATTCAAACCTGAAAAGAAAGATCCCAGTACACTCTAAGAAAGAGAAGTCCCCCACACCCTTCCTGCTTGTTCTTCCAAACTAACACACAGCTGAGACCACCATACCACATCCTGGTTGATATCAACTTTATCCACTTTTCCATCAAAGCCAAACTAGATCTAGTGTGGTCAGTGATGGACTGTCTGTAGGCCAAGTGTATACCTGTATAACTGACTGTGTCACAGCTGAAACTAAGAAATTAGGGCTTAAATATCAAGTGGATCTAAGGATCGCCAAGGATCCAGGATTGGAACAATTACCATACACACACACAGGAACCTGCACAGATGACTGCTTAGTCCAGAGGGTCACTCAGCACAAGAGTCGCCTTGTGGCCACAGTGGACCGAGATCTAAAAGGAGGACTCGGGAAAAACCACAGGCACAACAATGATTAGGGAGCCCCACGGTTCTGATCTGGCAAGATAACGATCCTCTACCTACTTTCAATGGACACTGCATTGGAAGCCTAAAATGTGTGATTCCATGTCCTTAGATTTTGTTACTGCTTTAAACATATTTTGTTCCGTTTACAAATATTTGTATTTTCCACATATCAGATACTCAGATGATTGCACACACACACATGCACACACACACAAATGTTGCAAGCAAGATGCTATGAAGCAGTTGCCAGAGCCAACTGGAATTCACGATGACCCGTGTGTGCTCCAGAGCAGATCTGAGCTCCAGAGAGTTTTCAGTGGCTGTGATCTATGGGGCGCCGATTGTCACTCATTGTTTTAGGACATTTCTGGATGGTATAACCTCCCAGTTAGCCATCAGAACTACTAAGGGCAGTGGGAAAACAAAACATTTTATGGCGGTGGTTTTCGATCTAGTGTATCTGGAAGGTATTGCCCAAGTAATGGAATAAGAAAAGAAGTGGAAAGGACACACAAACAGGGTTTTGAATGGATTTCTTGGTACCAATTCATAGCTGTGTTCTTAATTCAACAAATCTCAGTGAGAAACGATGTGTGTTAACAGGAGTGGGGCAGTCATTCCTCTGCAGGTACATGTCACTGGCCATAGGAACCAGGGGGAGCCTATGGGAGTGCTTTGAGTCTGAGCCGGCTAGATGGCAATGTGGATGTGGGATCAATGGCCTGGTAAGGCATGCCCAAGAGCACGGGGAACGAGTAATGAGGATCTTACAGCATATGACAGCCAGCAGTGCATGGTTTGCCTCTATGAATCGGTTCGTGTATGTACTATCTCCCATAATATACAGTAAACAGAAAAGATGGAGAAGATTAAGAGAGTCTTCAGGGAGGCATGAAGAATCAACACATAAAAACGGATTGCATGTGGAGATGTATTAGGGGAGAGACAGAGCGGCCATAGGGGTCACTTTGAACTTACAACAAAGGGCCATTCACAAAATAGGAAAGCAGAAGAGAGAGACACAGTGGCCCGGTGGAGCTTGCTCGGGAACACTTTTCCATAACCTTGGAAAGATGGGAATCTCAGTGCTGAAATCTGATGGCAATGACTATAGTAAGTACGAGAAACAGAGAGAAGTAGCTAAGAGGGGTCATCTAAGAGATGTGAGGAGGAACAGGGCGTGTAGTCTTGATTCACCAGAACACCTTCAAAAGAAAAATGGGATTTTACCGGATTTCGGTGAAAATGACTTAGGTCGACGGGTTTCAGCCTCTCATTGTGGAAGAGAGGGTGGTGGGTGGGTGGAAGAAGTCCTGAAACAGAAGCTGCATTAACAGCGAGATAAATAGCATCGATCCTAAATCTGGAATGTCTGGCTGTGCTATTTATTAATCACGTAATGCTAGGCCAACTGCTCAAAGTCTTACTGCCGCAATTTCTTCATATGCAAATGGAAATAATGGCATATAGCTCATAGAATTGCTAGGTTGATCCAACAGGCTTATACAATTAAAATGCTCATTTAGTGCCTGCCACATAATAAGAATTATAGAGGGGCTGGTTGCCTGCATGTTACAATTACCCCACCCTAAGACTCCGCTTTGGGCCCATAAGGTATCTTGCCCCTTCCTTCAGAATCAAGGTGAGACATCACTGATGGGAGCGTGC